CAATATTTTGTCTTGGTCTAATGACTATGAGTATGAGTGAGATGAAGAAAGAGATTCATCTTTATCCTTTTTAATAAAGTATTCATTCTATATGTTTTCTTTCAATAGGTCTGTATCTATTAAAACTACTTACTTGAATAGGAATATCCATTTCCAGTAGCCTTTGAGGAACCTGATTGTACCAATACAATTATTATTGTAAGAGTAATTCCCAAAACAATCACGCCACAGCTGCTAAATATGCAAATATGAGATGCATTATACTTGGGATATACAAGTTCCGTTTGTCTTGCATCAGTTCGTAGTAGTGGGAAAGTGACTGTGCTATGTTGCGCATCAGATGAAACAGCTAAATTTCGAGGACGCGCTGCTGATTGTCTCAAGTAATCATCTGGTTGTAATTCACTTAGTTGTAATGGTTGCCTAGTAAATGGACTAGTACCATGTTCATTAATCCATTTTGTAATTGCTGCTCGTTCATAGACACGTCCATCATTTGCAATTACCGGATCACGAAACAATTCCATGGTAATGGGACAAATAAGATCGTCAATATCGACATTCTGCTCACTGTTTGTTCTTGCCATGATGAATGAATGTGAAAAAGAACGAAACTGATTTATTTACTTTTTTATGCGAATGATGGCAACTGTTCTGTTTGCCAAAGAAATGTGCGTCATTACTTGACGATGCTAAAAGAATAAGAGAATACAAATCGATTTTTTCCAACTTAAACGGAGTGAAATGATGGTATGAGTGTGGGTGAAACAGAAATACCGGTTCCGCATCCACACTCAGTTATCTGACGTTTTTTGTTCGCATTGTTAGCATATCGCATGAATAGAGAATAAAAGAAAAACTTAGGTTGATCACTTTCGTATCTGAACAGATCTTTTGTTATGTTCATCTGTTAAAACAAATCAAATAAAGAAGAATACTAGTGTGTGGATGTGAAGTATCGTTGAATACCACGTCCAATGACCGCAATGAAAACAATCTCGAAGAAGACGCGTGGTTTGTTCATATGTTTTTAAATATCGAAATGTAATTTGTTTGTAAAAAAGTAAAAATTCTTTGATTTTCGCTGAAAAAGCAGGTGAATCAAAAGGTTTAATAATTTGAACAACATGATGTATACATTGGAAAATAAATGCGAAGAAGAGATTTAATTGCATTAGTTTTTATAAGAAGAAAAATTTGTTATATAAAAAACAAATAAATGAAACAAAATTATTAGAAGAACTGCTGGTACACATAATTTTTGTCCATCATTAATACGGCCGTTGATATCTGTAAGATTGTGTTGAAAAAGAATTTGTTTTACTTCATTGTAAGCTTCAGGAGAATTACATCTCGTTCGATTACATTCAATATCCAATGAAGGAAGATTACCACCATCGAACACGTGTACTCGTGCAATACCAACTGGTTCACAGCCTCTTTTATTTACTTTGTTATTACTAGTATCGTATTCGACTTGACACATGCCGGAAGTACATTCTTTATTATCGTAACAGCGAAGTGCTGGATCAGAAGGTTGTCGATGTTCAAGAAGAACATTACTTAGTTGATTGGTCACACTATTGACATTGAATGTTCGATTGGAGAGATCAAGCACTTTCTTGTTGGCAAAGTCGATTGCACAATTATCATTATGAGAACAAGAATACATGGCTGTGTAAGACAAATAATTTTTCGGTAGAATATAAACTGATCGATAATAGCGACTTATGAATGTTGTTCCAAATTCTACAGCATATGTTCGATCGTGATAATAGAATCTGACGTAAACTTCACAATTATCCGCTTTTTGACGTTGTTGACAGGATGTAGGAATATTAAGAGGCATACCGGTATATCCAAAAGCTGTACAATTGAACAGACAGAGTGGTTTTCCATCTGCATAGACGAAAAAGACAGTGAAGAAATACAGTAGTGAGTGCATTTTTATGAGTGAAAATAAAACAGAAATAGTGCGTATTTATATCACATACGTACATACACCTTCCATTTCTTTTTTTTGTGCAGATATCAAATGACATAACATCGACGCACAAAGAGTAAATACTATGATTCACTCAAATAACGTAGAAAGAAGCATTACTCAAAGATCGTGATGCTGTAAAATGGTTTCCAGTATTATCTTCTGCATGAGAACTTGATTCGAATAAATATACTTTTCTAATGCGTCTTCTTTGTTTTAATTTCTTTTCTTTTAATATTAATATTTTGATGACAGTATTTTCATTGTCGATTATCGAGCAGATTATTCTTTCTCTTTTTACCTTCAGAGGATATCTAAATCAAAAGACAATATTTGTATAAAACACTTCATGTTATTTGATATCTACAGAATCTTACGCACATCAGTAGCTATATTTAATCTAATCTAAAAAAATACTCAATAAATGCCGTCAAAAACGCGAAAAGAATTCACAGTCAATAATAAATCCAAATTACATACAACACAAGGGAGAACAAACGTCTTGGTCTTGGCTTTATCGATGTTGAGAAAATAAAATATATCTATTTATCAGAATGTGCAAGTGATACACTTTAACGAGCATATGCTGTTCATCCAATATCATGTGTGCAAATTAAATATTTATCATTTAACTTAGATATCGAAAGAGAAGAAATTTGTCTCTTGAAAACCTCCAACGAATTGTTACACTCCAGTATGAGTGTGTTTTATAGCTACTATTTCACCTGTTCTTACTAATCATTTCTATTCTACGTATTATTCCTTAATCGGGTTTTACTTTGCCCTCTTCTTCCTTTCTTCTCGGTTCGTATGAACAAGAAATACTATAAAGCGTAACTCTAAGTTCGAATCTCTTGTAAGAATATCGATGTGGAAGTTTTATTTATTTCAATAGATCAAAACCCATTGGAATCAACAGAAATCTATTTTGCACAGTTAAATCCTGAGAATATCGTTCGACAAATTTCTCTCGATAAATAAAAATCCAATTTAATCTGATTTCTAGGTGAAAACTAATACTGATTCGTCTTCTAAAAGTGCAATTTTGAAGGTGGGTGTGTAGTTAAAGGTATAATATTTCTTCATTGTTCCTGTCCACAATCTCAAGATGTTTGAATTTCTCTTTTATTGCAACTTTATTCATATCATTAATTTTTATATAAAAAAAATATTCAACAGATGTCCTGTTTGATTAATACTATTGAGTATCCTGTTTATTTTGTGATTCAAGTATTTTTGTTAAGAAAAACAAACTTTTTTCCGTTCTTTTACTTCTTTCTGATATTTTCTAACATTGACGCATTTTGTTGTGATGGATATTTACACACTGAAGTAAAACATTATTACATTCTCTTCTTTCCATTTTTCTTTTACATTTTCAAATATAACATACAAACAGCATCAAAGTATTCAGCAGCACATGGCAACAACAACTAGTAAAGCTCATTGTAGTACATGTGGAAAAGAAAAAACTGCATATAAATGTGAAGGTTGTTCACAACATTTTTGTGCTAATCATTTGACAGAACATCAACAAACACTTAGAAAACAATTAGATGAAATAGAAGATAGACAAAATCTTTTTAAGGAAGCATTTAATCAAGAAAAAATGAATCCACAAAAGCATTTATTAATGCAACTAGTTAATAAATGGGAACAACAGTCAATTAAAACAATTCAGCAAACAGCAGAAGAAGCTAGACAATTGTTAATCCAACACACTACTGAATATATTAATCAAACGGAAGTTAAATTAACCAAATTCACTAAACAATTGAGACAAATTCGAGAAGAAAATAATATTAATGAAAACATTGTGAATCAGTTTAAACAAAAAATAAAAGAACTAGAAGTTGAACTTGCTAAATTGTCAAATATCTCAATTCAAGAAGATTCTTCATCATTTATTCCTAAAATATCTGTCGTTATTTCTTCAGGTAAAAATTTTTGTTTTCTTAAGATTATATTCGGAATTTTTCTTTTCTTTTGTAGCATCATTATCTATTTCAAATGTTTCTTCGGATGCAAAATGGTATTATTGTTGCTGGAGGAATTGGAGTTGGTAATGGATTAAATCAACTCTCTAATCCATATGGTATTTATGTCGATCATGATGATCAAACTATCTACGTGGCTGAGTATGCAAATCATCGTATTGTTGAATGGAAAAAAGGAGCGAAAAATGGTCAGGTCGTTGCTGGTGGAAATGGTCCTGGAAATCAAAATAATCAATTGAATCGACCAAGAAATGTCATTGTTGATAAAAAGAATGATTGTTTCATTATTTCTGATTATGGTAACAAACGCGTTGTACGTTGGCCTCATCGAAATGGTACAAGTGGAGAAACAATCATTTTAAATATTGCTTGTTGGGATTTAGTTATGGATAATGATGATTATCTTTATGTCTCTGACATAAGTAAACATAAAGTAACACGATGGAAAATAGGTGATAGACATGGAACATTAGTAGCAGGTGGAAATGGCAATGGTAATCGTCTTGATCAACTCAATCGTCCTTATTATATATTCGTCGATCAAGATCATTCAGTTTACGTATCAGATTGTGAGAATCATCGTGTGATGAAATGGTTGCAAGGTGCAAAAGAAGGCATTGTTGTTGCTGGGAGACAAGGTGAAGGAAATAGTTTGACACAATTGTCACGACCTTATGGAATAATCGTTGATCAATTAGGTACTATCTATGTGGCAAACTGTGGTAATCATCGAATAATGCGTTATCTAGATGGGACAACAAAAGGTAGCATTATTATTGGTGAGAATAATGGTCAGAGAGAACAAACAAGTCAGCTCAGTCATCCAGTAGATGTATCATTCGATCAACAGGGAAATCTTTATGTTGCTGATAATGACAATTATCGAATACAAAAATTTGAAATTGATTAAAATAGAAGTTAATGATTATAACTGAATGAACCGTTGATAAACTATATCATGTTTCTTTGAATTTTTTAGGTTTTTATCAATTAATAAATTCTTTCAAACACTGAAATTATGGTGTGGATGTGAGTATCGATGTGCAAAAGGAGAAAGCTGACACCCACACCCACCCTCATAGTATATTATAGTCGTTAATAGGGAAATTTTGAAAAAGAAAAAAACATGTTAGTGGAACATATAGCAAATGTACGATTGAATTAATAACGTGAGAATTTTTGTATTCGATGATTAAGTGCGTCTGCCACATACAAGTTAAGTTGATTATCAAGTTTCAAAGACCAAGGCGTATTGAGTGTAGTGGCACTACTACCACTTGTGCTTGTTACACTGGCAATAGTTGTGCCATTTAACTGTCCTTTATAAAAGAACTGAACACGGTGATTATTTCTATCAGCAACATACATATTACCCATAGGATCAAATACTGCTTGAGTAGGAGCATTGAAAGTTGTTGATGTCATTCCTGAAACTCCATTAATATCACCAGCAAGAAGTGTCCAGTTATTCGCGCCTAATACATATTGAACAATATTATTACCACCAAAATTGGCAATGATCAAACTATTTGTGAATGAATCAAAA